AAAAAATAGACCTTCTTTTTTTTCTAAGTAAAAATTTGGATTTATAATATGTATTTATTTTTTGTTATTATGAATTATGGAATTAAAGAAATAAATAGAATAAATTCAAAAAATTGTAAAAAAATTATACCATTAAAGTTTTGAAAAATTTAAAAACACCGTGAATTTTCGGGCGTGACGGGCGTGAATCAAAATATTGCCTTTCGTGAGTGGGCGGGTCGGGTCGAAAATTTTTTAGTGGTAAGCGTGAATGGGCGTGAATATTTTTTATTGCTAAGCGGGAGGGCCTTGAATAAAAAATTAGGCCCGCGCCCACCTCTAGTAGAGAATATATATATTTAAAAATAGAGAATTATCAACAGAATAGAGAATTATCAACAGAATAGAGAAAGTAAGATATGGAGGTCAAGTGGTTGCATAAAAGAATTTTTCGTGTTGGTATTTCATGTTATGTATCGTAATAATGTGGTGGGAAAAGTTGAAAGATAGGAATATTTATATACAAGTAAAAACGAAAAAAGTATCGTTAAAAAACGGGAAAAAATGTAACACATGAGTTGAGGTTAAAATGTTTTTAACTAGTATTATATATTAAAAGTGAATAATTATTGTAATTATGGAGTCTATTGGAAAAAGGGAAATTTGGTAAAAAGGAAATAGTAAAGATTAAAAATAAAAATAGTAGATAGTAAAAATTGTAAAAAAAGAGGGGAATTGCAGATCGTAAAAATTGTAGAAAAAAAGGAGGGTTTTAGAAATGAGTTTTGTTAGGGAAAGGAGAGGAATGATTATTAACGAAAAAAAAATTAATTAGGGAAAATTGGTAAAATAGGAAATAGTAAAGATTAAGAATTAAAAAGAGTAGATAGTGAAAATTGTAAAAAAAAAGAGGGGAATAACAGATCGTGAAAATTAAAAAAAAGAGGGCTTTTAGAAATGAGTTTTGTTGGGAAGGGAGAGTAATCAAACGGTCAGCGGCTTATGGGGTGCAAAAGGGAAAAAAATGTAAAACTTGATAAATTTGATAAAGTGGTAATAAGAAGAGGAAAAAGAAACAAAAATTGTGAAAAGGCATCTCTGAAAGGGGAAGAGGGAAATAATTGGTAATATAGTGGTAAGAGAAGAAATAATAAATATGAAGAAAATAATTTTTTGTTTTGTAAACAAAGGGGTATTGTGTGATTTAGTGAATTATGTATTTAAAGTTTTTTAACTATTTGATTAAAATTTATTAAGTAGTGAAATATTTTATTAAAGTTTTTTTAAAAAAAATATTGAATTAAAATTTATCAAGTTTATAAAAAATATATAAATTATTGATACATTTTATATCGCAACATGATGATCCAGGTGAATTTACTCAACATGTTACATCCATTAGCTAACCAGTGGCACAATTGTTGGATCAGTCAACAGGATGAAGAAATGCGGAAGTCTTATCGCCCTTCGTCGTCCAATGAAATGCTATCCATGCCAAATGGCTATGTGTCACGAACGACTGTTCCTGTGATACGAGGTCCAGGGGTGCGAGAATTCAACATGACTTGCTTCAAATGTGGCGGGAGAGATCACAAGGGCAGGGATTGTTGAAGTGGAGGAAATCAACATTCCTCTATCATAATGAATGGGGCAAATAGATGGACTTCCAACGGCCAACGAAGATGAATAATGGCTATGTCAAGACGTTTATCAGGGAACCGCTTAATTCGACAATGGAAAGGGAGGTATATAGAATGATACCGTCTCAAGATTCGTCCAGATATGTGATAAGAGGAGCGGAGATAGTTAGGATCTTTATTTTTAATATCTCTTTTAATTGGTTAATGAACTTTAACTTAATTTTATTTTAATTAGTTAAATAAATAGACAACTTTTGGGACTTTCCTTTTTATATTTCTTAATTTGTTAGCGTACTTTACCTTGATTTTATTTTTTAAATAAAAATATATATATCTATATTTTTTTTTAAAAAACATAAAAGCTTTATTTCAATTATTATTATTATATAATAAAAAAAATAAACAAAAATTTATTTATAATAATATCAAAAATAATATACATTACATAACATAATATAACATGTCCCCCTTTTCAAGGTAAAACCTGGGGTACATGTAATAAATTTAGTGATACATACAATAATTACATAAATATTGTGTTTTAAAAAAAAAATAATCATTAAAAACTAATGTATACATACAAATTAAATTTTAAAAAAAATCTATTATTAAACAATACATTAATTCAAAAAAAAATACAAATACAATTTTTTTTTTACTCTGGTGAGTTTATTAACATATCTTTCATTTAGTTCAGCATCCCCTCGGTCATAGGCATACTTTCAGTGGGTATCCTGTCACCACGCATTACACTTGCATTCGTTGGAACTATCTCCACTCCCCTGGTCACATATCTGGACGTATCAAGAGACTGAATCATTCTATATACCTCCCTTTCCATTGTTGAATTAATTAAGTGGTTCCTTGATAAACGTCTTAGACATAGCCATTATTCTTATTGGTATTGGAAGTTTATCTATTTACCCCATTCAATATGATAGAGGAATGCTGATCCCCTCCACTTAGACAATCCCCAGCTTGTGACCCTTCCATCCACAGTTGAAGCAAGTCATGTTGAATCCTTGCATCCCTGGACCTCGTATCGTATCACAGAAACAGTCGTTTCACGTGACAACCATTTGGCATGGACATCATTTCATTGGACAATGAAGGGCGATAAGTCATCTGCATCCCTTCCCCATCCTTTTGACTAACCAACAATTGTGCTACTGGTCAGCTAATGGATGAGATATGTTGAGCAAATTCACTTGGATCATCATGTTGTTAGATTTAATATAAAATGTATCCATAATTTATATTATTTTTTATAAAAATTTATAAATTTTATCCGATATTTTTTTTTTTAAAAATTTAATAAATTTTCACTACTTAATAATAATCAAATAGTTTAAAAAAACTTTAATAACATATTTTACTAAATCACACAATACCCCTTTGTTTATAAATCACTGCACAAAACAAAAACATTATTTTCTTCATATTTATTGTTTCTTTCTTCTTTTACCACTATATTACGTTTATCAGGGAACCGCTTAATTCTACTACAGAAAGGGAGGTATATAGAATGATACCGTCTCAAGATTCGTTCTGGGGAGTGGAGATAGTTCCAACGAATACAAGTGTAATGCGTAGTGACAGGATACAAACTGAAAGTATGACTGTGACTGAGGGGATATAGAACGAAATGGAAGATATGTTAATAAATGCACGTAATTGTTTTTTTTTAAATTAATGTATTGTTTAATATTAGATTTTTTTTAAATTTAATTAGTATGTATAGCATTCGTTTTTAATGATTGTTTTTTTTTAAAAAAACACAATATATATGTAATATTCTAAGTATCACTAAATTTATTACATGTACCCCAGGTTTTACCTTGAAAAGGGTGTACATGTTATATTATGTTAAGTAATATATATTATTTTCAATATTATTATAAATAAATTTTTGCTTATTTTTTTTATTATATAATAATAATAATTGAAAAACGCATTTATGTTTTTTTTAAATATGATATTATATATATTTTTTGTGATTTAAAACAAAACAAAATAAATATTTAGTATGTATAAGTGTGTCTATTTTTATTTAATTAATTAAAATAAAATGAAGTTAAAGTACGATAACAAATTAAGATATATAAAAAGTAAAGTCCCAAATATTGTGTCTATTTATTTAACTAATTAAAATAAAATTAATGTAAAGTTCATTAACCAATTAAAAAAGATATTAAAAAGTAAAGGTCCTAAAATACTATATATTTTAATGAATTTGATTAAGAGTAGATAAATTCAAGTCAAAGATTATTTGATTTGAGTAATAAGAAATTCCTACTTAGAAATATCAGACTAATGTATAAAAATTTGTGTATTAGAAATATCTAACTTTTTTAGTAAAATTTTTAATATTATAAATTTTATTAAATTATTTTCTCTTTTTATATGGCCACAAATGTGAATGTGTTAAAAAACAGATAATCTTAAAGTGTTAAAGAATAAATGTATATTATAGATTGGAAAATTTCTGATTCTTCCACAATTAAGGATAAAATTCTAATTCACATCATTCTTGATGGGTTTTATGCTCTTGAATTTATGTTTTGGTTTGGTTAATAATTTTTGCCAATCCAATATAGAAAAAATTTTTGATAACCAATCTAATAATTCCTTGTAAATTTTGTTTTATAACAAATTTTAAGCTAATATGGATTACGAAATTCATGCATAAAAAGAGCTGCCAAACTGTTGCCAGTTTTAAGATATATACATTTATAAACAGGTCATTTTAATATTGGCAAAAATTTCAGCACAGCCTTATTATTTAGACATGTATTTTTATATTTCAATAAAATTAAATCTTTTTATTACTATAAAGAAGCTATGAAATATATATAAATTTTAATTAACTTGATGTTATTTTTCATTTTAACTGATAATAGGAAAAAAAATCTTAAACTTAAAATATATTTTATACTCCTTTAAATTAATATTCAGTAATAGCTTTGATAATTTAATGATGTTAACTTATTTTATTCTAATTAACATAAAATAATATAAGAAAAGTTAATAGTAAATATTTCCTACATTTTAATTTTTAAAATTTTCTTATTTTTTTAATTTTGATATTTGATCATACAAAAAAAAATTAGGAATATGAAAAAATACAAAAATGTTTTTTAGGCCAAAGAGAAGGCCAATATTTTATTCATGTCATCACTGGATTTATAGCTATGCAGGACTCAAATGCTAATGTCCTTGTATAAAATTGATCATTATTTATTTTTTGATGTTAACATCAAAAAATAAATAATGATCTAATTTTAAATTCCCAAAAAAATCATAATCTATGAGTTAATATAAATAAAATCTAATGAGGATTAATAAATAAAACATTGTAACAAACAGATATATGAATAATACCTGGCGATATGTTGATAAAAGAATCTGATATATCTTCAATTGGCAAATTTTTAATGTTTCAAAATGTTGTCCAGAATTTAAAGACCATACAAAAAATTTGTGCAAAGAATCATGTGTAAGGAAAAAATCAAAAAATGGATCATTTGGTAAATCTTTGTATACAGAAGAGTCCTCCTAAATTATATATAAATATATAAAATTGAAATATATTATCTTTAACTAATATAACAGAGATATCTTTCATCTGCTTTATAAGTATTTTAATTAATTCTTCTGTAAGCAAATAAGCCTTTGGATTATCTAATATGACTGTATCTATGTCATCCCAAAACTTCTATAAAAGTAAATAGATTAAGATAAATTCTTTATAGTTTTACTTTAAAACTATTAAAATTATCATCTTTTGTTCTAGATATCATATCTGATGGTGTTTTAAACCATTCCATACTAGGCATATAAAAAGAATCCTTTTTTACAAATCGATCGCATGCAGAATATTTAAGTTTATGATAGACAGAAAAAGGAAACTGAGTTGAGCTCTGTCCTCGTCAAAATATATACATAAATATTTATATTTCATTTATATTTTTAATAAGTTTGATATTTTATAAATATATATATTTTACTTTATTAAAATTTATATTTTTTAAATATAACTTAGTGGTGTAAATTGAAGCTAGGTACTTTGGGTTAATGTTGTTAAAAAGGCCCGATTTGGGTTAATTTTTTAACGATCTAATTATGATTTTAGCCAAAAAATATTATTTAAGCCAAAATATTCATCCTTCAATAGATGTAATAAATTTGATATCTTTTTCTTTCTTTTTTTACGTGTTTTTAGGAAAGCTATTTTTTTCTTTTTCGAAAAACATTCTTGAGTTAAATTTTTAATACAAGTATATTTTTAATATTATTACAAACTACTATTAAGATATGCATATAATATATCAAAGTGGTGTGACAATATGTAAAATCTTAATTGTTTCAACATATATTCTAGTCCTTATTTTATAGCTAGAAAATGTTTCATTTCTAATATGGCATTGTCGTATAAATAACTCCAGGCTTCAATATATTTGCATAATTATTTCTTCCAAAGATTTTTAGTGTTTTATATTTATCAATTTATCCAACATAATAAATTCTGATATTGGTTTACATCATTGAGTGTCATGGCTATTACTGCAAATTAACCAGCTTCTATTATTTGTGTTGCTATGTAATTTAAGATTATTACTATACGGCTGAGAGAATATAATTGCATATTTTAGATAGACAATAATGGTCAACTGTGTAGTCGTTTATATACCATTTAAAATGGAAGATAATCTTTTAGAAATTTAATATCTCACAATAATTTTCTCGATTGCTTATCTAGCTTCCATCATGTCATCTAAGAGGAAGCTCTAACCACCTTATAGTTTTATGATTTGGATTGGGGGTTTATACTCTCTCCTTCAAAAATTGTTGATTGGGTTTAGCCCAATAAATTTTTCCTTATTAGTCCATTCTATAAAACATTGTCTAAAATGGTAACAGAGAGCTTTACTAGTTTGATAACCTTTTGTCAATGTAAGTTGCTAAGAATTATATTATTGGACTATGTCGTTTTTTATATGTCAGTTTATTTTGTATGCATAATATAATAAATGACAAAATATGAAAATCAGAATAATTGTTGAGAGTTAACAAATTTTAAATAAGTATAATATATTAATATAAAACCCGGCCGAAGTCCGGGCAAAGGCGCACGCAAAGGCGCGCCGAAGGCCCGCAAATTAGAGGGTTTGGGGGGCTTCACCCCCATAAAATTTTTTTTAGTTGAGCCCCTGAGATTGTGAAGGCTAGCGACGCCCCTGCAAATGAATCTAGCAAGAATTGATATAATTATTATGCGATCATTTTCTGATAATTTTATATAAAATTTTTACTTATTTTCCAATTAATTTAACGTGTTTTAACTAAAAAAATGTAAAATCAAATGAATGAATTGGTAAAAAAATATTCTAAAATATTTGAAAATAAATTCTAAATTATAAAGGCTTCTAGATTGTGATTATTCAAAATTTTTAAGGGGGTTTATGATTTTTCGGAGCTTCACTTCCAAACTCTTTTGCCTGGCTTACGGTAGAGTCCCTACTTTAAAAATTCCTATAAATTTTATTGACTTTTTATAGATCTTTATATAATCTCCATTAAAGTTGGCTAAACAAGCCCTAATTCTAAAATATATTTAGTGTTTAACTTTAACCAATTTAGTACCCATTATCAAGGTAAAAATCTTTAGTAACAAAATTTTGTTCAACCTTAAGATTAGAAAGTGACTGTAAGCATTTATTCATTCAATTTTATCAAGGTTTAGACCATAATTGTATATTCATTTATTCCGTTTGGTAGACAGTGCAATTAAATAAAAATTGCCAAAATAAATATCTTGCTAAAATGCGAAATAAAATTATATCTGGCCTGAACAATATTTTCAATTTACTCAACAAATATGAGAACCACAAAAAGAAACTGAGTTAAAAATAATGTAAACTAAGACATCACGCTCTAAGCTTAAAGTAAGCCAAGCGGAAACACTAACTCTGAAACATATATTAATCCATTAAGTGTATTATATTATATTGCTTTATTCTATTTGGTAGTTGGAAGAGAGAGATGAAAGAGATAAAGAATAATTGGTTAAAAATAAATAAATCGTCAAAATTAACAAAATTAGCAAAATGCCAGAACGGAGAATATAGAAGTTCTAATTATCTGATTTGCATTAATAGATCTTATTAATTGTTCGATGAATTTCGCTAGCTATATACAAAGTAACCGAATTATAAACCAAAAAAAAACTATATATCACATCTTAAGAGTAAAGTTAGCCAAACATTTGAAAGCGTTATTTCAGAAATTTATGTAAATAAACAATGCGTATTTCATATGTAAAATGCTTCAACCCGTTTGGTAGTTATTTTTAAAAAAAACAATTTTGGCAAAATAAATAATAGCAAAAATTGGCATCATGCTAAAAAGAAAATTATAGAAGCAACAAATTATATGTAATGAATGATTGGTACTTGCTGTTTTTTCATCAATTTATTTCAATCAATATATATAAACCATTTATAAGCAAAAATTACAGCAGGTCTTAGGCTTAATCTTAAATATCGAATTTTAAATTATCAAAAATTAACTTGACCTGATATACATTAAGGTTTCTCTTTCCCCTATTCAAGATATTTTTGTCTTATGTTTCCATGATCTTCATAGAAGTTATTTTTTCTTTTCAAAATATAGAAGTAATTTAAATCTCATTAAATTTTAAATGGAGTTATATTTTCAAAATTTTGATATAAATTAGATATGATGCAGTTCAAAGCATGATTTTTGCAAACTTTTGAAAGTACTTATTCTAAATCTTAGGCTCATATGTATTGCTTATAGAATATATTTTAGTTTAATCTTCAATCCACTTAAAATTTATTAGCAAAATACGAAAATTAATAAAATTGATAACAAGATTCAATATAGAACACAAAATTTCAGTACCACAAAAGCAATTAAAAAAATTAAATGAACGAAATATCTAAATTAAATTTTACTATTGTTATAATTATAAAAAATCCTATCATCTTTTAAAATATAAGACTTAATGTTGTGTAGCTTTGATATTTATATTTAATATAGCATAGGCGTAGCCAGGCTTTTCCTAAGGGGGGGGGGAGGAGGGATTTATAAATTTATGGGGCGAAGCTCCACACTTCTTTTTGGGCTGACGGATTTCCTTAGTCTATATTAGTTATATAATATTTTTATAAGATAGGAGGTTTATTTTAACAAAAAATTCTTTATTTAAAATATACGAAATAGGTTAAGAGATTATATCAAAAAATAAGCCTGGAATATTTTAATTAGTTTATAAAAAATATAATAAATAATAGATCATGCAAAAACGTGGTAATAATTTTAATGTTATATCTAATTTTCTTTTATAATTTGAAAATTCATTCATTATTTCAGAATTAACTGGTGTTAGTTTCCATTAACTGGTGTTAAATTCCGATGAATATTTAATAGCGTTAAACCATTTAATTTATTTTGGGAGGTAGTATTTCGCAAATATAATTTTAATCTTTGTAAATTTGAAAAAGTTCTTTCATTTGTAGATGTTGTAATTGGGAGGCATGCTAAAATATGAAAGAATTTGTAATTTTCAGAAAGTTTATTAATGTATGTTTACAAATATTGAGTGCATTTAGTGCATTATCAGGCTTAATGTTCATTCTTTTTATGTTTGCATACCAATATTTAAAATCAGTTATTACTTCCAATTCGCTTACCATATCTTGAAATAAAACGTATATAAATAGTGAATCTTATTTCTAATCTCATCCGAGATGCTTATACATGGATAAGATAACAAAATTTGAAAGTTATTGAGCAATATTTTATGGTTCAATAAGAGTTCTCTAATTTGAGTTAAAAATGTATCCATAAGTGGTATAAAAATCGTAATTTTGTTAAACTGATTGTGTGGGAATATTATTCCATGTAACATGCCTCGATACATTTTTTGGCATGGTTATTATCCTATAATATGAATGCACCTTTTTTTGAACCATCTGCATAATAATATTGTGTGACAGAAGAGAATGTTAATGCAATGTACAGTCAATAAAAACTCAGGATCTTGAATTGCTTTCAATATTCCATTAGATTCAGCCACCACTGACGGTCCATTTATGTATTTCCTCTATTGCAACAATTTTCGGATCTATTACAAGAAAAACTGCAACTGGTTCAAGGATCCATCTTGTTGGGCACATGACAGGTAACTGTTCCCAAATTCTTTCTTTGCCAAACAATTCTTGAGGAAATTATATCTCTTTGGATATTTGAACATATCATACATTTTGTTGTAATATTCAGTTAAACAAGAAATATTTTTTCAAATTGGTGTAATATTCAGATGTACTTTCAAACAAAAAAAAATGCCCAATTCAAATTATTTTGATATTATTTATTATAACAGATTATGTAAATGAAGCTTAAAGGAAGGATATTTATATTTATAATTTTGTGAATATAAGAACTAGGGAATTTTGGAAAAACTTCCTTTTTTAAAAAATTTCTCTTTTAATTTTATTTTAGTTTATTATTTTACCTTTCTTTTATTTACACTCAATTGAACATATTTTTACAATTGTGACCTTTCAAATATAAGATTATAATTAAAATAAAAGTTTAATAAACACATGGTACTCAGAATAACGGGAATTGAGCAACAGTCAAAAATAGCTAGATTTAGAGAATGCGACGCACAGTGAATATAAATTGCAGTAGGGTATTTTTTCATTATATATGATTGAGCCCCATTTAAATGGCCACATATACCAGGAGCACCATTATATCCATGTCCCCGCATAGAATTTACATTAAAAGATGAAAATAAATTGAAGACATTCGCCTCTCATACGTTTTAAATAGTGGGGTTTAAATATGTGCCATTTTTTGGTGCATTCAATAAGTTAACCCTGAGCTCATCATCTCTAATTGCTCAGTTTCGGAGAATAGCTCTAAAATTCACATCATTTTCATTTGTATCATCCTTAAATATAAAACTAGAATCTCGATGCCCTCATAATGCCATATATTGATTTCCACTTGTAATTATTGCATCTATTACAGGAAATATTTAATCTATTTTCACTTGCTATATTTTTTAATGATCTTTATAAAAAAATATAATTATAAGGGTATAAAATATTAGATCCTAATGGTTAGCTCATTAAATTAGTACCTATGTGGATCTCTCTTATAATAATTTATTTGTTTACCTTTTATATGAGTTATAGAATCTCTATCCTTAGCATTAATTGCTCGCAGAGAAGATGTTATATTCTGTGTATTTTTATGGTATAAATTGGTTTGATGGTTTTAAAAATTCTCTCCTGCATCTTTCCAATGGCAGTTCACATGTCGCTTTATTTTTGTTCACATTTATCAGCATATTTTGGTCCAAATAAAACACAATTATACAATAGGCCACTGTTAAGGTGAGTAGGCTAACTAAGGCCAAGGTTGAAACCAATTCAATTTGAATCTTAATTTCCTTTTAGAAATATCTCGAGGAAATTGATAGTTATTAGATGTCTATATATATTCTATAATATATTAAAGTCTTTGGGAGCTACATCTAATTGAACATAATTGCCTATATCAAATGGTAAAGTTCCTAAATATATTATATACATATTTTTAAAATATAAGCAAATTTAACCAGTTTGCAAAATACTTTTGACTATAGTAATAATGATCAATAAATTATTATAATAAAATTTACAGATCTTTCATATAACCTTTTCATTTACATTCTTTAAAAGATATTTTATGATGTCCATATCAAAATATAATTTAATATTTGGTAAAACTATTTGATTTACTATATTAGATAGTTATTGTGCGTTAATATTTTTTATTTAATTTATATTTTAATTTTATTAATAATTTTATAATTAAATTTTACTTTTATTAAGAAGAATAATTAAAGTAATTCACTTTAAAAAAATTATATTTAATATATAATAATATTTAGCAATTTTATGGATCTATTAATAGTAATTATAAAATCTCACTTATCTTAAGAATTATCTTTGGCTTATATTTCATTTCTTAAAAAACATTTTTGGTTTTACTTTTTTTTATATATAAATCCTATTTCTAAAAAATATGAATATTACAGTTTTATTTAGTTTAAAAAATTATTAACTTACATTCTTTCTTTCAGATGTCTAAGATATATGCATACATTTTTGGGGACAGGAGGTGGAGAGGGGACTAAGAAGGATATTTTTTAATAGTTTAAAATTATATTTACAAAAAGTGACATATTTATGAAGAAGGGAGATTTCATCTTGCCTCCCCCCTGGCTCTGCCTGTGTAATAGAGGCATAAAAAGGTAGTTAAATAGGCTTGTGGCATATCTGAGCTTAACACGAATTGAAATATCAATAAGTTAGGCTGCATTCAAAGTAGAGACGGATCCGTTTTTTACATTCCTTCCGTCAAAAGTCAAACTCATTAAAAATGATATATATATTGATTTTCATTTTTAAAAAATTCTAAGTAACGTTATAATGCTCTATAAAATTTGCCGGATCAAAAAGTCAAAATGTTTTGACTTCAAAATTTGCCGGATCCGTTTTTAAGACGGAAGGTATCGAAACGGACGCACTTTGATCATATATATCATTTTTAATGAGATTGACCTTTGACGGAACGGTTGTAAAAAACGGATCCGTCTCCAATTTGAATGCAGCCTTAGATATAATGAAATTGACTATAGATTTTTTTTAAAAAGGAATATGACAAATTAGACAAGTTTTTTGCAAGATAATTTAAAATTTATTTAAGAAATATATAAATAATCAAATAATGTAGGTCAAAATTATTTTCTATAAATTAAAAACATAAAAATAATTGTTTTATAAATTTTCAGTATTTAATATTATCAATTTAGTAAATTAAAATAATTTGTTCTTTTCAACAAAATCATTGTGACTTTTTAAATTATATCTTATATTTTTAAAATTAGCAGCTAGTTTTAAAAAAAAATAACGTTAATTTTAATAAAATGACATAAATAAATAACTGGCACCTCAAAGCTTAGCGACAAGTGCCTGTCGATTGGGCAATTGCGCCATCATCCAACTATAATTATTACGTTAATCTAGAGATCTCTCTCTATTCGATAAGTGAAAACATTTTATTAATATAAATTGAAATAAATATAGGTATGTTATTTCATGATTCTCATTACAATCGTATGGAATATTATCATTTTAAACAAAGTGTTAATTAATAATTTTGCTATGTAAAAAAATGTGAGTTCATCAAATTGTATATTTAACTTTATTAAATATAAGGTTAAAGTTTCACCATGTTCACGTTATAGAAGTATCATGGACAGGGAAATTATAATGTTAAGATTAAAAGTATACTATATAATTTTTTTTATAATATTAACATTTTTTTGATTTTATAAATTGTAACAAATAAAATACATATAACAATGATAGTGTTTTTTTTAAAAAATAAAATAATAAATATATATTTCCACAAAAGTAAAAAAATGAAGAAAAAAGTATAAAACTAGAAGGAAAATAAATGTGATTTGGATTAAAAAGAATATAAAATTGGAAGAAATATAAATTTTTTGTGTGAGTGTGTACAATGTACATAACAAAATCATGTGAAATATAGAGCCATCTATAATTTACGCAAAGTGGTTAAAATTAAAAAGCCATAGAGATCTGAATTAGGGTTATTATTAATATATTAAATATAATAAATACATTATTTATTTAATTATTTTTAAAAAGATTTTTATGGACGGATGTTGGATAAGGATATTTAAATTTTAGATATATATATATATTTTTTAAATATTATTAATATTAAATTAAATAAATTTAAAAATAGATTTTTCTAGAAAATATAAATGGCATATTGAATATTCAAGTGACTTAAAAAAATATCCGTTAAAAGTTATCAAATGTGACAAGGTAAATATTATAAAAAATTTATTTATTTAAGAAACTCCGACTATGAGAGATTCTTTATTGGATAGATAAAAAAAAAGTAACAATTCTCGAGACTACCTTCGGAAAGGAAAAAATATTTTCACATTAGTATTATAAGATTCTATGATAAAGCTCAAACAAATCTATATTTATCATATAAACACATTATACCACCTCCTCTCTTTGTTAATTAAATAGTAATCTTCCACGTATTGACACAAGCAAAAGTTTCCCTTGACATGTCTTATGGTTTTAGACTGTGGCAACTCGGGATGGGGTATAGTAAGACGACCTCTCATCAGGTTTCGAACGTAACTTTGTGAGTTTCTCAATAATATTTTTTCGGCGTAATTCTTTTTTTTTCATGGATCATTATTATCATTTTTTAAGTGCACTTAACAGTTACATCTTATACTTCATTAATGTATGAGTATTAAAACACTTTGACCCAATTTGTCAGTTTTACTTAACTAGTTTTCACTTTTTTTGTTATAGTCGGTCAAACTCGACGGCCCAGTCTTATCAATCTTAGATTTAAATATAACTGGGCAGATTGGTATTTTATGGGCTACCCCGTCCTAGTTTATAAACTTCTGCTCACCCCCCAAAGGCAGGATTATTCATGGATAATACTTGTTAAAAGTTAGATATAAAATAATTGTAACTAGAAATTCCCAAAATATTTGGATTTTAAATAAAAAACCTGATAATTATTGAGTTTGTAATTAGTTGAGCCTTCAATTATTTCTTCGAAATCGTCATTCTTGAGGTTCAGGCATTTTCTGATTTTAGAATTACTAATTTCATATATCTAAATGTATATAATATAATTTTAAATATAGTGTTTTTAAACAAAATACGTGTACCTAGTTATATTTTTGCAAAAAATATCTATAACTAGTTACATTCTAATTCTAATAATGCGACTAGTAACTGTAATGACGCAAAATTTTTAGTAGAAATCAATTTTTAAGTACTTCTTTTGATAGTATTAATTTTAAAATTTCTCAGTAATTTTTATTAATTTTCACCTATTCTTAGATTTTTTAATCAATTTCTGAGAGATTTTATTTGGGTTTTTTCCTTTTTACCCCATTTTTTCACCTTTTCAGATTTTCTTTTATTTCAACCATTATTTTGAGTATTTTTTCGATATATTTCAATTTAGTACCTTTTCGATATTTTTTTAAATTCAAAATTAATTTTATCTTTATTTTATTATTAGTAATATAAATTCTTTTTTTTTCCTTTTACACTTCATTTTTTGACCCATTTCGATTTTCTCTCCTTTCCACTTGATTTTGAGGATTTTATTTAAACTTTTCAGCCTTTTGATTAATTCTTTTAAAATTTAAATTAATTTTTTTAACATAATTACTCAATTATTAAGTACATTTTTTTCGATTTTTTTAAAATTTCTTTTTGACTTTTGATTTTCTCTCATTATGAATCTAGCACCTTTTATGATACTTATTTATTTATTTTTAACTATATTTGTTAGTATCTTTTATGATTAAAATGTAAAATTGTCATAACCGTCATTTTAAAACTTTATTACTTGGTCTAATAGTCAAAAATATATTTTTTAAATAAACTTTAGTAAAATCTCAGTGCCAATGTAATTCACAAAGGTACCAATTGTCATAATCTTTATTTATATTGGATAAATTTGCTTATTATTGCATCATTTTATGTGCATTTCCAAAATTTTGCCATCTTACATAGTTTAGTCATATCAAACAGCACTTTAAAAATAAGCATAGGAATTCTTAAGGCATTAGTCAATTTAGGGTTTATAAAATAAAATTTAATTTAATCACTCAAGATATATATATATACATATATCTACCGATATTCTATTGATATATTGATTCATTTGCTCATACATTCGATATTTAAACAATTGTAAAAAAACATATATATATCTAACCTTGTTTTTAAGACCCTTTTTTTCTAATACTCGAATTATTTCTCCCATACAACTTTCCATATCATAATACACGAAATGTAGGTATAGTTTCAAATTTCAATGGTAATTGTGGTTAAGGAAAATATTTATTAAGTCAATAATCGATGCATTTTTTGCCTAAGTTTGATATGCAAGTCTTAGGAACCATACACATATATTTCTTTTTAAAGTAAGTTCGGCCCTGCTCCGAGAATTAAAAAAAAATTTTCTTTGACCGTCTAGATCGGATAGGTGTGAATCTTTAACTTTTTTAACAAGATTGCCATCTTATCTCTATCCGATATAACCCGATAAATCTTTGTTCAAATCTGGCTCACGACTCGAACTAAAAATCGTAAAAGATTATCCAGCCAGTGGGTGTAATTTTCTACCGATCTTATTATTTAAATTAAAAGGTAATTTATGGGATATTACAAATACTTTTGCTCTATAATTAGTTAAAAATTTATAATTGATTAATTATCCGTAATAAAAAAAAAGGATATCGATATCTTGTGACAGGAAATTTTGCCTTTGTCCTCCATTCCCGCTAGAACATTCTTTTTGATAAATACTCTGTTAACGGCGGAAACGGCATCGTCTAAATTGTTGTTCATCTTTTATTCAATTTTTTTGCATAGTCATAAATTTTTAAGATTCGGATATAACATATGATGAAATTGAGCAAAAGAATGGCGACATGAAAGAAATGAATAAATATAAATAGTGAGCAAGAAGGAAAAAGAAAAGAAATTTTATGAATTTGGAGGAAACCGAGGCATGTTGAATAGTGGGAATGGTGATTGGCTAAAAAGGATTAATATTTAGTACTTTAATTTTTACATATGAAAATGTGTTTTAGCATACCAAAAACAATAAAATATAATTGCAAACTTCATTTTATAAATTAAAATCGTAATAAATAAATTTTAGGAAAATTTAAACCCTATTTTTTAATTTGAAAATTTTTCAGAATCATAAAATATGGGTTAAATGATTCTGAATATTATTTGTACAGTTAGTGGGCTATCATTGTTAGTCTTAGGATATTTTTGGTCCTTTTAATAATTGCATATTTATTTTTTATTTTGATTAAAACAATGCAAATAATTTTCAAGGAATATTTATCAATTGAAAATATTATTTTTAACATAATATACATTAAATAATATTTTATTACAACTTTTTTTTACAAAAATTTCTAAAATTTCTTAAAACCTTTAAAAGCAATTCAATTTTAAAAATTATTGCGTTTTATGATATTATTCAAATTAATATTATTTAAAGCCGTATTATAACAATATCAATAATTTAATATTTAAACTCATTTCGTGGACCAACCATGACCTATTGTTGGGTCTACGTACCCAGAATACGGAAAGGTTTGACCAAAAAAAGATTTTTTTTAAATTAAGTTTTCTAAAAATATTATTTCTATAAAAAATATATTAATTATTTTAATCAGCCTATATTCTGAGGATTTTAAAATGTTTCATTTATTCAGATTAGTTTAATATTATTGAATTTATTCAGGTTTAAACGAAAGATGTCCCAACCTGGCTGCTCCTATTATGCTACGATTTATAACACAACTAATTTATTTAATTTTCTTTTTTACAGTTAGGCTTAATCACCTATCTTAAGTATTTATCCCAGAAGATTTGTCTATCTTTGCTTAGATGTTCAGGCCTTATAGGCTAAAAGCTTAGATAAGACTTATTAGAATTGGTTAAAGTTGGGTGATTTAACAAAATAATAATTTTTTTTCTTAACTTAATTTTCTTTTATCGCCACAATCTAAATATTATTTGTTTTTAAAAGTTTTTCATAAGGGGGGGGGGGTTAGTTTCCAAACATTTTCTTCGGCCTCGGCTTATATTTTTTATGATGTAGAATTTTTGGCGACATGTTAAAATTACTTTACCCTTTTTTTGATGAGCAAGCACATAAATATACCGATAGTATTGACGAGTAACCATACGATCCCCATGCCAAACAAAATGGTACCGCGCATTCCTGAAAACAAGATGGCCAACAAAATAAAAAGTCCGAAGAAGAGCCAAAACACTATGATCCTCCGGTAACACATGTTGTAGCAATTAAACCTGTAATCGTTAGTGAGGAACTCCATGGCCATGTTAAAATCGTCCGCAGTTATCTTGTGCATTTAATAATAAATATATGTACACATCAATTTTTTTAAAATACAAAAATAAAATGAAAAAATGTCCAATTTAGAAAGCTGTTTAGAAAGAAAAATATCATTTTTTTTATATGAAAGTTACAGTATATAGTTTCATTTTTTTAACAAGAAATAATAGAATCATAATCCTTACCTAATTTTTTTTTTAAATAAATGGCATGCAAATCAGCGGGAGACTCGGGCTATCAGGCAGATGGGGTAAAAGGTAAACGTCCAAAACTTTTTCATCTTTAGGGCTAATTGTTTTAAATTTGGTCAAAGATGTATTTATATACATAGTTTAAAAGATATTGATAAATTATTCCTCCCTTTTTTACCAGCTTTATTTTTTTTAGTATTTAAAGTATTCTATCAAATTTTATAAATTTTAAACTAGTCCGGGGTTCCTAGCTTATATAGAAAAAAGCCAACTCACTGCTCCTAGGGCTATGATACAAGAGGCAAAAATGCAAATTTGTAAAGAAAGAATTTCCCAGGCAACAACCCTACAAAAATATTTTAAGTAGGTTTTGGCCTTAATTTTCAACTAAATCTTGGTATTTTTACTGATTATATTTGTAGTGATCGTTCTAGAGATGTAGCCATTTTTGGGTGAGTATTGCTAATGAAAAAATTCTGATGTAAATTTTGGAATAGCTAATGATTCTATAGCCATCAATTTAATTGCGATAAGAGAGCAGACACTTCTGCCATTGGTATGACTTAAGATTGTTATCAATGAAATTGAACAGAAGTGTAAGGAAAATAAGAGCTATAGGGATGGAAGGAAGCAAGGAGACATAGTTTTTAAGCTAATTTTGATGATTTAGATTTCCTTTTTTTCCTAAAATAAGAGTAAGTTTAACAAATTTTTACCGAATCTTGAAGGCATTTTAAATGGTGGTTTTAAAGATTGAAATAATTTCTCCTAATACACATTGGGTTTAGAAAAATTTGATATAAAAGGGCTGTTGCAAATCAATATCTAGTTTACTTTGCTCTTCAGATAATACACTATCAATATATTTTATTAAATTGTTTTGCTTATTGTCTTTTTTGGAATAATTGATTCAGTTTAATATATTTTATACTAGAAATTATCTTTAATAATTATTAATATACTGTCTAGGCTAGATAATTAATTTAGACGAGTAGTATTGTTAATTAATTGAGTTCTTCCGACCTCAACTAAAAGTTTTAGTCGATGAAACCGACCAAAAACCCGGGCTAGAAATATATTTTTAAATTAAAAAAATTTCTTAAGATGAACTTAACTCGAGTTATTTTCTTGTATTATCAAGAATGATTGAGAATAAAGTATACATAAAAAATCAAGCACGAATGATTACGAATACTTTAGTAAAATATGACAAAAATCGTGAATCATCTTATCCAGGGTGAAAATTAAATTGTTAAAACATTACTTTTACTTAATCATAGGTATTAGAGGTCTGCATTGGGCAGATTTTTGGACTATAAGCCCGCCCACCCAATGTTTTAAAAATTTAACCTCCCGATAGTTTTCAAAAAAAAATACCCGCCCTCTTACCCATCAGCCTAAAATCCTTTAACCGCCCGTCCATTAGTCTAAAATTTTTTACCCGCCCACCCATTATTTAAAGAAAATTTTAACCCAAGTCCATTAAGGAAATTACTATATTAAGCATAAAAAAATATTCAATTTATATTATGGATAAATTATTTAATGAATCGACATTTTCTGGATTCAAATACGTTCTTCTTTGTTCTAAAAACCTTCCAGCAATGCTAAATCCTCATTCAGAAGAAGCACTAGTTGCAGGAATTTCCAATATTTTTCTTGTTAATCGTGATAGATTTGGCAAATCTTTTTCTTGTCGTTTTCACCAAAGTAGTTTTAAATATTCAAAAAAGTTTATTTATTTTAAGAAAAATGTTTTTATGATAGAAGGACATTTAATTTTTTAATATCCAAAAAAATTCATAAGAACAATTTTTTATTAATATTTACTTAAATAATTTAAATTTTTTTAACCCGCCCGCCTATGTTTAAATTTCTTAACCCTCCCACCCACCAGCCCACTTAGATGGGCGGGCCTGGGCGGACGGGCCTAAACCCGCCCAATGCAGACTTCTAATAGGTATCCCCAACAGTAAAAAAGGTAGAAAGCCGGTCTTTTTTTGTGACAAATAATGAGCCTATTACAATTATTAATTTTATAAAATAAAATTTTATCACAAGATAGCAAAACACCTTCTATATACCCCCGATTTCCCCTACTCATCCTTGATAATATGATTAGCGCATCTGAAATTATAATGATCGGATAAGTAAAATTGTCTAATAAGCTAAAATATTCGTGGGTGAATCTCAGTAGAAACTTGTTTTTATTTATTAGAATATTTTTACGACAAGGGACTATGCTATTCGACTTATTACCCACACTTTATAGAGTGCGAGTGGTTTATTTTAGGTATTCGCATATTTCTTGGGGGAGGGGGGGGGGTAATTTTAAAACGGATGGATAAAAAAATTACACTGTATCCAAACTCCAAATATATATTTATTCCTTGAAAATGGAATCTACCAAGATACAATCAATTGTTTATTACACAAGATAAATTTTGAAAAAAAAATCTTAGAAAAATAAACATAATAATTACCGATAATTTGGGATCTAAAAATTCGGGTGGCACGCGGTGCACATTGAACTTGGCAGGGGTTACCCATACGCAGGAGTGGTTTTCGGGTGAGACAGTCACTATCAGATCACCTCTTGCTTTTTCGGAAAATATTGTGTTAAATTTAAATAATAAGAATAATTTAATAATGCTATATTTTATTCCATTTATTACTAAAATATGATATGAAAATAATTTTAAGAATTTATTCAAAATTATTATTAAACCTAAATTCAAAGTTTAGTTTTAAATTTTTTACTCAAATTCTTTTTAATTAAAAGAATATTTTATATCTATTCTTTAAATTTCAAAAATAATATTTTTCTATAATTTTATTTATTTAAATTAAATTTTCATATTGCAAAAATTAAAAATACCAAATTTTATGCATCACCGAAAAACAATCATAAATGTTACAGAAATTTAAAAGTGATCAAAATTATAATAATGATTATCGCAAAAAAATATTTATTTTCACGCAAAATATTTAACAAAACAAATGTCACATATTCATTAATTATAGTGAAAAATAAATAAAATCCATATATGCATAAAGGTAAAATTTGTCGCGACAAAAATATTCGGACTAAGGGATGGACCTATATTTTATGGACGAAGCAGCCCTGCATCTAAACATTCCTCGAGATTAAAATATTTTACAATTAATTCCCGGAATTTATGAAATATTGGACCCATAAACTTTAAAATAAAATAAATTTAACATATTTTTACGTTCCTAAACTTTCGCCTTAATGTATCGTTTGAGTTCTGTAGGTTATGAAGTAATAATTATCTCATATTCAATCTACCATGTTTATTTGACATTTTAAATAGATTAAACGTCGGTAATATTAAGCGGTCGATCTTATGATTGAAATAAATGTTATTGGATGCTCTATACATTATTATTTTTTATACACAACACACCTTTTAGTAAATTTTGAAATATCACCTGTTTCGAGTACTTTGACATCTTCGATTCAAAAATTTTTTAAATAATTTTTTTAATTATTTGATACAGTTATTTTATGTCTTTTGGACAAACAAATTAAATATTACCAACTTATGCCAAATATAAATAAAATTTATTTCCTATGTTTGTTCTACATTAAATTAAAAATAAATTTAAATTAATCATTTTTTGATATAATGAATGAATGATTCTTAAAAAATCAAAAAAATCATTAAAATAAAAGAACTAGAGATGGCCTGTTCCATCCTTGAAGATTAAAAAAGTTTTTATCCCGGTCGGACCCGTGATATTTTTATCGCCGCCCAAATTTTCAAAATCGTCTAAGGGTGGTATTTTTTAGCCCGGCCCTTCCAAACATTTGTTTTATGGAAATAAATCATAATTTGGCCTAGTTCAATTTTTTGGCAGATTTCAGAAAGAAAGAAACAAAACAATAGAATATTAATTTATAACGATAATTTTTCAATGTCAAATACAAATAATTTAAAAAAATATATATTAATATATTATTGATGGAAAAATTTGAAAAATTTCTTTTTAAAATTTCGAGCAGTAGATTCATATTTACTAACTCCCCTACCTTCTTCTTCGAAATTATTCCTAGTTTGATTTAAAAAAAGATAAGAATGGAAAATAAAACTATAGTATCATACCTATTTCAACCAATCAAGTGCATCATTTAAATGCTAAATAGAGTTAGATTAAAAAAATAATTAGGTTTAAAATATAAATAAATTTTCACCATAAGGGCTACCGCCGTCTTTAATCAGGCTTTTGTGATTGTTGTAATGTGCATAATTGTCATTATTTATCATATTTACTGATGCGACACCATATTGGTACCAACCTGAAGCATTATCGTTGTGATCTCTCAGCCCCGTTTGTAATTGCCCGTTACCTGAATTCATAAAAATTTAAAAGATATTTTTTTGTTATTATGTTAATTATTCTATCATATATTATGTTTAGTATATATATAATATAGTATAAACATTAGGAAAAACTTTATGTTACATATTTGCTCCTAGTTTCCTCAAAGATTTAATCTCCTCTCTTTCCTCCCCGGTTCGTAGTTTTATCTTAGAAATAAGTGAAAAAGTTGAATATTTCGAAGTAAGCTGAAAAATAATAAGTGCTTAAGGATAATGAAAATATTTGGTTTTATTCTTTAAGATAATTTTATAAAAACCAAATAATATTATAATTTGTCGAGGTTCGAGACCAATCCGTTCCGAAAATTAGGATCAAGGTCCCAATCCGATCTAGTCCGAGAGAATATTTATGAAAGTTTTAACGATCTGAGATGCTGATAATCGGATTAAGCTTAATTTCAAATTTAAAAGTTTATATTTTCGCGAAGTCAAAAAAAACATTATATGTATTTATAGCCTTGTCTAATATACCGCGGCTAACTACGGGATTATTTGAATGACTTGTAGCACTATTGGTGTAGGGTTTGACTATAGCTTCATTGGTTTGAGCTGTGGAGTGGTCTATTTTTATGATGATTACAATTGATTATTGTTGAATCGTATTTTTAAACATTATAAGCTTATAAACAAATTAATGTCCCTTTAAAATGTAGTTCTTAATTATTAATGCCCTTGCTTGAACTAAGGATTATTACCTCTACAGCGTTATTTAAAATTACACTGGAAAAAAAGAACAAATATATCAATTCATCGAATTAAACTACATGCTGTAATAAAGCTAAAATTTATTTGTAAAATTAGAGTAAATATGTCGTAGACAATATTTTATTGTTGGAGAAATAAGTTAATTTAATGAGAAAGGGGTAACGTAACTTATATCTCAAATTATTACTGTGATTGAATGAAAATAGATTTAGGCAGTTTTGTAAACATATCACAAAACGATATTTATAAATATTCATTGCTACCGGGATTATTTTCGCGCTTATGGACATTTAGTGGATCCGGAGAAAAATCGTTTATCACAGGTTTATCGGAGATGTATGAATTAGTAAGCTTATCTTCACTCTTACTGTTATAATTCGAAGGGGTCACATTGTTGAGATCTATTTCTTGGAAGCTTTTTTCTTCCATCGAAATATATAATATAAAATTTGGGAGGGGAGTTTATGGACTGAAATTTTTTTTCCAGTAGATATCAAACATGTGTAGTTGGTTAAAGGATTACCGAGTTTCCCTTATAAAATAAAAAAATTAATGGTTAATTGAGAATTCTCTATGACTAAACCTTTCATAAATTAGGAAATTGAAATCTGAATCTTATAGGAATAAAAAAAGAGAAATAGTGTCAATTTAAAAAAATACTCCTTCTATATCTATTTAATAACCATAAATCATTTGCGAGCTAAACTTATACCTCCGATTTTCAATACATTTAATATTCTCCTTCAATGGCGTGCCCAGGATTTATTCATTCGGAAGGTTAATATTTTTATTTAAAGTGCTATACCCCAAAATTCCTTTTTTTAAAATTTGAATGTTTAAAATACTTATTTTTCATGTATTATCTATCATCATCTCTTTGCCAAATTAAAAATATTCAAATTCTAAGATCTATGCCAATATTTAGTGCTTCATTAGTGACACATGACTGTTTTAATCAGTTTAACAGCCATAAAGAAAGAAAAACGAAAATTACCAAAATCAAATTTTGATCAGCAAGTTTACAAATCTTAAAAGCACTAATTCTGAAAACTTTATCGAACGCTGAGTTGAGTAAGTGTTTAGTAAGGCAAAACTATGGCTGCTCTGCACTTAGAAATAAAAAATTTGTCCATATTAAAAGGAAGCATAACTGATACGCACCTTCGGCCGATATTAATTAGTCTTTGAAAAGTATCCCGTTTTCCTTATAAAATGTAACACTTTTTGAGAAATTAAGTATCATATGTTTTTTAAATAAAAAAAATTTTCTTATAATTTTATATAAATGAAGAATAAATTCGATTAGAGAAAGATTTCTAATTTTTATCAATTTAAATTAAAAGTATATCCATTAGTAATACTTCCAATCTAAAACTATTATTAATATTAACAGTGATGCAGGCACGGGATCTGGGGATGATCCCAAAATATTATAGAGTAAAATATTGAGTTTTCATAAGATTTTATGTTAATATGTATACGAAGAGTTCTCCCTCATGGAAAATGAAGAAGAAAATTTTTCAATAATAAGATTATGCAAAATTTGCTGAGGCTATATTCGTCAATCGGGTGCAACTTATAACAAATTATTTATATTTTAATATATTGCATAAAATTTCATAAATCATATTCCTTTAACTGCTCATGAATTTAATTTAAAAAATGATTAACCTTGTATTATTTCTAATAATATAGATTTATAAAAATAAATTTATGACATTAGCTTATAAGAAAAAGATTACTGGAAAAATAAGATCGAAATATGCAATTTTAAACAATTGTTCCACTCCCCTAAGCAAGGGGTCATAGTAAGGGCCCTGATATTTAAGACTAAATATTGTTCCATTTGAACTTATTGGCATTCACAATTGATATAACAATAAATAAAAGCAAGAATAATATGATACCTACTCAGATATAATTTGACTAAATTTTATTTCTAAATGAAACAAGTTAAAAGATTTCTCATCAAGCCAAGAAAAATTAAAATCTCCATGTATTTACAAAGCTATTTATTGTAAATATAAGCTAGTTTAGGTCATAAGTTAGAATTATAATTTGCAAATAAAATTATAGGTGAGGAATGAGAAGATCTCATTTAATTAAATTTGTTTGTCATAAATTAAAAGGATATATGCCGTAAACTGTTTGCAAAGTAGTGCATACTCAATATAAAATATTTAGAGTACTGAAAATTTTATTAGTGTGAGGAAAGGAAAGAGACATATAAAGCTGCACAATAATTTTGATAAAGAAGAGAGCCTCTTTTATTAAACGTTAGATTTCGTTTTAAATTATCTTTCTGCATTATGGAGATATTTCAAGTTATTTTTTTAAACTAAATTTGAATCTGATGTTTCTTAATTTTTTTCTCAAAATAAAATTTGAATCTGATAAAATTTATCAAATAAATCTTAATTTTTTAATAAAATTTGAATTATTATTCGTGATTTAAAATTATTATAATTATATTATATATGACCTAAAATAATATGGTATTCGTTGTTTCAAAAAGTTATTGGATTTTTAAAAAATCGGAACTGTTTTGAATATCATCTAAAATGTCATAATATTTAGATTTTAGTTTTTTTTAAAAATTTGACATCTAAAAAATAAGGTCAAACATTCATTAAATATTCTATATTATTTGCATAGGTTAATTTTAGTTTTAATATAAAAGTCATTCAAAATCTCCTATACCAGCAATTTTTTATTTTATAATTTAAAATTTAGAAAAAAGTTAAAAATAAATTTTATATATAAAGTAAAAAATATAAAAAAATTAGAAATAATTTTAATCCAAGATTAATTATTAAAACCCATGTTCAAAGTTAGAATAATAATAAATTATAATGATTTTTATTTTTTATTTTTGAAAAATAGTTAGCCATTTTCTTCTCCTTTTGCGCGGTTGGCCTGTATGGGGGTGCCATTAAGAACAAGTCAAATAATGCTTACGATTCCAGTTCTGGTAAGAGCGATTATGTTGCTCCAGCAGTTGCTTCAGGTTATTTTTTATACTTTCAAAATAAACAATCAGTGTTCATAATTTTTCATTAGATTCATCGTACAAGTCACAAGCAGATTCTGACTATTCAGCAACGGATGATTCTTCTTCTTATGGAGATAGCGCTCCGAACTCATACCCATCTTATGACGATTACTCTGACAAAACATCTTATAATGCTCCTGTGCCTTCTTACTCTAGAAGCTACTCTCCTTCTTACTCCAGAGGCTACGATAGCTATTCCGGAGGTTATAACAAAGACTACCCTAGTTCTTATGGTTCCAGTTATGGAGGAAGTGACTATTCACCAAATTCTTATGGTTCTTCAAACCGTTATGGTGATTATCCTTCGTATGGTTCTTCAAACCGTTATGGTGATTATCCTTCGTATGGTTCCTCAAACCGTTATGGTGATTCTCCTTCGTATGGTTCCTCAAACCGTTATGGTGATTCTCCTTCGTATGGTTCCTCAAACCGTTATGGTGATTATCCCTCGTATGGTTCCTCTAGAAAATATGCATATGGTGCTCCTCCCGCAAAAAAATATAGCTATGGGGCGCAAGGATATAACCAGGGTGCATATGGGCAGAGTGGACAAGGATATAATCAAGGCGGATATGGCAAGGGATCTTATGATAATTCCTACCGCAATGACTACTAAAAAAATGCATTTTAAAAATATTGCCATAAATTTATTTTTTGCTTTCTTTATATCAAATAAAAAAATGCATGATTAATTTTAGAAATACTTCAAAAAGTTTCACTAAAATAAATTGAAACATTTTTGGAAATTCAGAAAAGTTACATACCTTCTTAAAAATTAACATTTTAAACTCTCTCTCAAAAATTTTTTAAAATAAAAATCATACATATTTATTACTATTACTTGCACTGACAATATTAGAATAATAATTATATAAACATTGGATGCCGAATTTAGAAATGTTATTTTACAAAAAATTAATTTACGCAGGTAATCATTTTTTTGTTTATTTTTGTTTTTATTTGCTTTTATTTATTTTTAAATGATAAAATTTTTTATTTATAGAAAGGTATAAAAATGACTATCGTGGAGAAAATGAAAATAAAATTTAGGGGAAACCGGTAATTTCACATTTTCACTACTGTTGCCATTTAACGGAGATATAAAATGGTCATGAATACCTATGTTCGTCGTTTTTAAATAGGATTTATGAAAAAGCATTAAGAATATTATGAAAATTTTATGAAATATTAAAATATAAAATATTAAATGACAGAATTAGGCAAAATTTAGGAAAATTTAAAACATTTAAATATTACAAATTACAAATTCATAAAGATTTTGTTTTTTGCTAATCAATTTTGCTTTTTGCTAATTTATTTTTCCTTCTTTAAGACTATTGGCACAAATAAAAAACTAAATATTGGCGATAATTGTTGGCCAATTTCATGATTCATAAAAAAAATAAAATTACAATGATATTTAAGATAAAATTCCTAATTGGAATTTACCCTAGTCGAGATCGATCTATCATAGGTCATGAAAAGAGAGGTATTGAAACCAATCCCCTCAAAAAAATATGAATCCAGGATAAATACTGACCAAGCAATTAAGGGAGGAAATTGAATGTATTGCAAATCAAAGGGAGTAAATTTTGATCTCTCAATTATGATCTCTCAATTATTTTCTAGTTATTTAATAAATATAAGAGTTTTTTTTAAATGTTCAGATCTTCAAAATTCAGATTTCGGTTTCCTGTTCTGGTAGTTTTAGTGAAGAAATACTACAATAACCATTTAATATTTTATACTTTTATATGGCTCGGTAATCATTTAATCTACTCAGGTAGTCTGATATCTACGCATAGATATTATATTATAGCCCTAAAAACCCTTCCTAAACTTTTAATCATATACTGATGTAATAAAAAAGCTTTCAAGAAATAGATTTCAACAATGTGGCCTCTTAAAATTATAACACTAAAGGTGAAAATAAATTCACTAAGATACTAAGATAACGCGGATAAACCTGGGATAAAATATTTTGCTACAGATCCACTGAATGTCCATAAGTGAGAGAATCATCACATTAGAAATAAATATCTATAAATAAAATACCACTTTTTGATATTTTCAATTGTCCAAATCTATTTATATTTAATTTGGCTGAAATAGCCTTTATCGATGTAAGTTTTTTATATCAAATATAAGTAAAATTTAAGCTTTATTGTTTAGTTTTTATTAGAAGAATTGGCATTATTACCTAATTATTCTTTCCAAAAATACTTTTTTAAATTTTAAATAGTGCTGTAGAATTAATAATCATCTACCACAAAGCAAGGAAACTAATTGTTTTAAAACTAAATTTTAAAAGGACAATTATTTGATTTAAAGGGATATAATATTACGATTTAAGAATAAATCTTATGATCTGTTACAGACACAAAAAAAAGACTACTCCACAGCTCAAAACAAAGAAGCCTTTAACCAAATTCTATATCAATAGTACGAGTCATTTGGGTAGTCCTGCAATTAACCACGGTGCATTCGACACGGCTATAATAAATGGAAATGTATTTTTTTAGGGAAATTATAACTTCTTTTTTTTTTAAACTTTATTATTTATTCATAATCATTAAATTACTGAGGATTAAAAAATATATATTAAAATGGATATATTAAAAATTAAATATAAAAAAAAATAAATATATAATATATATATAATCTATGAAGACATTAAAAAGGTCTATAAAAAAAAAATATATATATTTTAAAAAAAAGGGGGGGGGGGGGGTATATATCATCCAAGAGAAGAGTGAATACTTAAAAAATTACACCGGCAAATTTCCAGGGAAATATGCTGGCGAAGGTAAAATCCTTCATTGGGGTCCCCTGAGATCTGTCTCATTTTTTTTCCTATGATTTTAAATGAAATTGAGGGCCTCGTTTCCAAACATGCCTAGGGTATTGGTAACGATAGGAATGAACATAGTGTTGGTAGGCCAGCGTATTTTTTTTTAAAGGATTTCTGCCTTTTCGATAGCAGAAAATGAGAGGTTAGACTTGGCTGCAAAATCAACGCAAGTGTAATCCCATGTTAGCGGAAGAACATTAGACCAGGGTATGAGAGAAATACCATCCTGGCGTTTGGAATATTCGTTTTAAAGGCCCACTGGTTCGAGGGTAGATGGGATATTAACTTTTTTGAGGGCGGCTAGTAAAATGTTATTGATAGATTTATGACGAGGTTGTCGTCCACGGGAGAACTTGCAGTGCAAGGGATGGTAAGCCTTCGATTCAATGGGCTGACCACAGTCGATGCAGATGGAGGGAACTGACATTACAGCCGAGGCGGAGGGCTATAGATATATGTAGCTGTTCGCCAGTCATGAGGAGGCCAAGATTGGCGCTGGGGATGGCTTCCAACCATTCGTAGCCAGAGTTTGCATTTAGTACCAAATTATTGGGATTTTTCTCAAAGGGCCTGTTCGAAATAAGATATTTAACGGAACGGGCGATCAGAGGAGCATCCCAGTCTTTTTGGGTACTGGAAGCGGGACGGCTAAGGGTAAAAGTAATCCAAATTCGATCATCCCACAAGTGAGTTTGACTCGGACAGATGTTCTCTCAGTAGATCGGATTGGGACCATGATTTTAATATTGTTTCAGACCGGATTGAATTTGTAAAGTCGATAAATTATTAACATATTTTGTTTTCTTTTTTTACAAATATTATATGCAGAATAAGCACTTATCATTTTTCAGCTTTCGTTAAAATATTGCATTTTTTTTTACCATTATATTAAAATAAAATTTCGGATATAATCACATCTTTGGGAATAAAAATTAGGTTTAAATTGGTTGCTGTTGGTTCGGTAAACGTGATAAATAATGCCAATCATGCGCCCTACAATAATCACAAAGACCTGGTATGGCGGTAGCCCATTAGATAGGGTTTAAACCTAATTCAATGTCCATCATTAACTCTATTTGTCTCCTCTTCAAATTTAAATTATGGCTTCTTTGGTCAGAAATAAAGGTGTGATACTATTGCTTTTTTACATTCGTATCTCTAATTTTTTTTTATCTAATATACGAATATAGGAATCGTTTGGAAGAAGAGGGGGGTGGGATTAGTAACTTTGAATCCGCTGCTCAAAATTTTAAAAAGAAAATGTTTTAAATTAATAATGGTATTGGTATATTGTTTTTAAATTATTTACGACACAAAATAATATTAAATGATTAGATCTAGACTATAAAAAAATACTAGTCAGGCGTCTTGTGTAAATCTGGGCTGGGCTAAAATAATTATGGATCCGACCGGCATATAATTTCAAATTTTTACGGACCGTACCCTCATTGATTTTATTACGAGGACTTTTTTAAAGTTATATTTTTGCCCATTAATAATGTTGCCATCGTAATAATTCAGTCCAATTATTTAGTGTTTAAAAATTATTGGCCCGAATTATTCACTTAGCATTCTCCCTTTTAATTTTTTTCTTAAACGTTTTTTGTAAAATTTTAATATAATATTTGTTCTCATTTTAAAATATTTTTCATGTGATATTTTAATTTAATTTTAATTTAATATAGAACAAACAATTAGTAAATAAATTTGATTTATATTTTCATTTAGCATAACATTTTTTATTAACCGGCAACTTGCTGAATTCTAAATTTTCTCTCGTAATATATTTTTGAAATAATTGTGTTTTTTTCGATAAGATAATTCCTCCGATTGTTTTTTCGACAAAAGAAATTAGATGGAGAGATATTTGATGAAACTATGTTGAGTAGTATAATGTTAATATCCCAGGTGTATTTTGTAAAATTCAAATAATATTGAAGAATTATTTGACTTGGTATCACGTCAATTCGGTGCATCGTTAATTCGCGTGGCGTCTCAGCATCAATTTAGCGCGGCGACAATTTGGCACGTATCTAATACAGTTGCAATTAATAAAAGTCATTTTGAAGGTTGGTCCTATTAATTTTCTTTATTTTTTTTTACAAAATACTCAATTTCATTTACTAATTGTGTAATATCAATAGAAAATTTAATAATATCAAAAAAATTTTTAATAATATCAAAAAAAATTAATAAACCAATATTTATACTTCTTTGGTGGACTTTTATCATATTATAAGGTATGTTGATTAGTGTTGTTAAACCCAAAATAATTTTATGTAAGCCTGTAGATTTTAAGCATAGATGGCAGAAAGGTTTGGACCTCTATCTCGAGTCTTACATATTATTTTGGCAAAATTCTTAATTGGCCATTTTTAAAACACTAATGTAATCCAAAAAAAATCATATTATTTTTCAGATTAGAGATTAACAAAGGGAAGTATAATGCTAGAGCTTGGCATTTTTCAATTATATCTAACAATTGAATTAATTTAGAATATCATTATTGACTTAGATAATTTTTTTTCTTTAAGACTGACTCATTTTAAACATTTATTAAAAATCCTCAAAATAATTCTATTAATTATTTAAAAAAATAAATATTAGTTATCAGAGTTTCGAACAGAACCGCGTAACTGGAACGAAACATTATAATATTCTTAACCGTAACCGAATCTTTATAAGGTTAATATAAAAAGAGCGAACTAAACTGTTATAAATATTTTTGAATTAATTTAAACCGGTTCAGGGTTTTTAAAAAAATCTGAATCTTAAATTATTAACCTAAATTTGAAATTTTAATTTTCCTTGTGGGCAGTTTAAATTCGTGATATTTTTTCAAATTAAATTTTAATTATCATATCAATCAATATCAAGTTTATTGTTTTTACTTTATATATTCAATTTAATAGAAATTAGGCAAATTACTAATTAATTAGATAAGAAATAATCTTCATGGTTATTAAATAAGGATAAAAATATAAAATTAAAAAGATTTTTCTCTAAGATTATATATATATTTATGATTATTTTTTTTAAAAAATTAAAAATTTATAAAATACGGAACGAACAGAAAAGAACTGTTAAAAATTTCAAACTGAA